TTTCGGCTTACTTGAAGAATCATTCAAACGAACAATTTTTATTAATATGGAGAAGATGGATTGTTTATATTCAAAAGAAGCATAGAGTGGTGGAATATAATCTAGGTTTTTAGTAAATTTGTTTTTCTTTTTTTTCTTTTTAATATATTTTACCTATACATGTAGAACAATACATTTTGTGGAGTTAGAGATATTAATACTTGTTTACTTATATCTGAATATTATCCTGGGATTAGGTTTGGGAAGTCCGGGGGGGTGGGGGGTGGGGGGTTTTTCATAGCATTGTGTAATATTTGTGATGTTTAAAAAAAAAAAAAAAAAAAAGAGCGCATAAATCCAGCCAACCGGCAGCTTGGCATGAGGCACGAGCTCGATCAGGCAGTCATAGGGTCTCTGCAGAGGCAACTGATCCACTTCCTTCTCCCCGAACACATTGCCGTAGTCTGCCAAGTCTGCCAGTAAGTTCAAGTCCAGCTCCCCCCACTACACCCTTTCCGCAGGTATGCAAGGTGATGAGTGGCACATTTTGGACTGGTAAATTGCACCACTCCAGATGACCAAACGACCTGCGGATCATGGGCCAGCAGCCATTCCAACCCAAGCACCAATGGGAAGTGTGGCGTCACTGCCACGTAGAACGCCAATTCCTCCACATGAGCCCCAATCTGCATGCAAAGGGGTGTCGTTGAAGCAGCCATCGCTCCCAACTGGTGTTACCGGCTGCTGCGGAATGGACCACTGCGTGGCAAAGTCTGAATCCATAAAGTTGGCTATGGCCCCACAGTCCACCATGGCTTGAACCTCCATATTTTCCTAACCTGGCAATCACTGTGAGAACTAGGTGCTGCAAAGGAGTCAGTCGTGGAGGCTGGGGGCTTTCCCCATTCCAGGGAATCTACAGAGTCCTCTAGGATGGTCCCTGTCCATTTCCCGATGCTGATCCCATCACCAATTTGGTTGCCTTGGTAGGGCACTTGACCGCCATATGGCCCTCTCCACCACAATACAAGCAAAGGCCTTCGGGGTGCCGTCAGTCTTTCTCGGCTTGGGTCAGGTGTGGTTGGGTGGCCCCCAACTTCATAGGTTCTTCTGATGCTGGTACTGGCACTGTCTTGGTGGGTGCTGGTGAGGTTTCCATCCATTGTTGTACCTATCTCCGCTGGAGCCGTGCATCAATACGTAGGCATGAGGTCGTGGAGTGTGTGGAGACAATCGGTGTGGGCAAGCTCATCCAGCAGTTCAGGGGACAAGCCTTCCTGGAACTGGTCCATTAAAGCAGCCTCATTTCAATGAAGGCCCGGGCTGACAACCCAGAATTCACTAATGTAATCTGTGAGCGGCCCTTGGCCCTGCCGCAACTCTGTCAGGCGTCAGTTCACTAGGAGAGTTCAACAGGAGAGTTGCCCAGCCTGAAGGCTCATGTACAGCTGGCACTGTCCAAAAATGTTGAGCCAATGAGCCATCAAATTTGTCCAGAAGCACCACAGGGCATTTGCGATGCAGCTGCCCAGCCTGCAGCTGGCCGAGCTGCATGGAAAGAAGAGCAACTTTCTGGGAAAAGTGCACATTGTCCCCGAGGAGCTGCTCCATCTTCTCCAGCAACAGTGGGTACATTCTCTTGAAACGCGGTGAAGGGAAGCAAGTGGGTTTAGGGTTGGGAACAAATTGTTATGACCTGGGGAAGGGCACGTAAGCAACACCAGTAAATGCGAAGGCCTAAATCCTTTTTATTAAACCAACCTTCCCCAAAATCCCACAGTTCACTTTAAGCCCAAGAGCAAGGCTTTAACACGCGCATACACCTCAAGCAGTTCCTTGAAGCTAGAAGTCAGAGAGAGAGAAGCACAGTCCTGAGAATAAAAACAATTCAGGAAACTTGGTCACATGCATCTTCATAACACATAGTTTGCCGGGGTCGCAGCCCAAACCGGAGCTGAGCTGGGTCACTGCACACTCGCACATGGCAAGGCTAGGCAAGGCAAAGCAAGGCAGCAAGTCATTGGTAACAGCAAGGTTTCTTGAATTGTGGCAAGTGTTGCTGGCAAATACAACACTTGTTCCTGACAAAAACTCCTCCCCATGGCATCTCCTTAAATCCTATTCTCCAGGTGAGCCTTGTGAAGTGGGGCGGGGTGTCCTCCTCCCAAGTAGCCGGGTTGCCCAGGCACTGATTCCGCCTCCTCTCCGTTCTCCGCTCTCGGGCGGGGGAGGCAGTTGCTCATCTCCAGAGCTCTGTTGCTCCTCTGCGCTGCTCTGCCATTTCCATCTCCTCCCCCCCTTGCTTGGTCATCCTGTGCCCTCTTTTCCTCTCTAGCGACCATTCTGAGTCTGGAGAGACCTGGGACTGCCTCGTCCTGCTCCTCCGGTCGTTCCTCCTGGGCCAGAGAGGCTGCGCCATCTTCCTCCATCTTCTCATCCTCCTCGGAACCGGGCTCCAATGGAGCCATGCCACAAGATTACAAATTGTGGGCACATGACACCAGAGTAGTGCAACTGTTATAAATACATGCCAGTTGCAAAGCACCTGAATTTTGATCATGTGACCATGGGGATGCTGCAACAGTTTTTTAGTGTGAAAAATGGTCAGATGTCACTTTTCAATGCTGTTGTAACTTCAAAGAATGATTAACTAAATGAATGTAACTAAATGAATGATTAAGTCAAGAACCACCTGTATTGAAATTTGTGTAAGGTTTCTTCCACAGTTAAGTCAAATCAATGCTTGCTCAGAAATCACTGTTTTAGAATTACTTTAAGTCCTCACCCAATTTTGGACTATAACCATCTCAATTGTTCTCATTTTCAATATAAAGCCATGCTTAAGGGAACAAGAGCTCTAAGATTTATCCAGGAAATACTATTCACTATGGAAAATTTGCTCATAATTTTCTTCTTCATTTATTTAATAAATCCCAGGACTCTTGTTTTGTACAGATCATTTAGGGGGGTGGTTATTACCATAACGTTAATTGTACAATATAAGCAGAAGAAGCTACTTTATGGTGATTTATACTCCCAAAGCGTTAATTGACAATGGCTGTCAGACAGGATTTTTTTTTGTCAAACTTCTCTGGCCATGCCAGAGACTAAATATGGATTGTTTGCAAAGAAAGCATATTTTTCATCTATAAATTCTTGCCACATATGGAAATCTTGCCACATATGGAAATCAATCAATTTTATCTCATTATTCTTACATAATTCTTAGCTGTGCTGAACACATGCTGATTTTTTTTGTTTTACCTGAAGGTTTGAATGCAATTCTATTTTTCTTGCCTTTGTTCACTTGTTTTAAGAATAAGTCTTTAAGTAAATCAGATGCTGTAACACGTTTATTTGGATCAGGTTCAAAGCAGAGCAAGATAAAAGCTATAGCTTCAGCAGAAAGTGATTCAGGGATTTCAGGGTGAATTTTGAACATCCCAACCTGTAAATAATAACGATTGTCTGTGTTATTTGAAGATTAAAAATTAATTCAATGTTGGATTGTTTTATTGTGTGCATTAAAGTAGTAAAAGTGAGAAATAAAAGTTTTTCAATTAATTGAAGCTTATGTTAACTGTATTACAAACTATGGTCTGTCTCAAATTATATGAACTAAAATAATAACTAACATTTATGAAGCTGATCTATTGAATACTTCAGAATTTGGTTCTGAAGTCCCAGTACTAAAACAGGGTGTCCAAGCCTGAGGCTTCACATTCATATTGGGTATTACATTTGAAGAATAGCCAAGTTCCCAGTAAATCTAGGTCACGAGTTTCTGGCCAAGGAGAGGTTCCAACAAAGACATCAGGTCATTATCAAAGACACATCTGAAAACAATGCTATTTTTGCTGTAGATACAATATTTGCTTCTAATCTTTTATCGATCTATATATTGTAGTTTAACTTTTATGTAGTACAATATTGTATTTTATAAGTTACCAATTAAAGTATTTACAGCATTAAAATACTGTAAATGGTCATAGACAAGCACAAAAGTATAAGAATTTAAAAGGACACAGATAAAATGACTATAACTTTTTAATTGCAGTGAAACTTCTCACAAAGACTTTTAAAGATCTTGACCTTTTTTATTCAAATCCATCCACCATGATTACTGTTCTCAAATACAACTATACACAAATATCTTGAAACCTAATTAAAGAGAACTGATCTGAGGGCACAACAGCAGCTAAATGGGTAAATTGAAACAGCCTGTTACAGTAATCAAGATTTAGAATAGAATAGAGCTGGAAGGGACCTTGGAGGTCTTCTAGTCCAGCCCCTCACTCAAGCAGGAGAACATATACCATCTCAGACAAGTGACTGTCCAGTCTCTTCCAAAAATCTCCAGTGATGGAGTGCCCACGATTTCTGAAGGCAAGCCGTTCCACTATTGTACATTTACAATAGCAATTTATCTTTAAATGCATTCAGCAAAAGTCAGTTTCTTACCCTAGCCAAAACTGGATAATGGAAAACAAGCTGAAGTTAAATCCAGAAACTCAGAAGATAAATAAGAAACTTACCCAGGGACTAGGATTCAGCATGTTTTGAATGGGATACCCTAATCTTTAAAAGGTTCAGTGCACCTGCAAGTCACCCAATCTTCATTTGTCACTTGCTTTGCAGGTGGCTGTGGCAATGAATGTTTAACACAAGGCTGCCTACCACACCAGATGTGATCCTTCCTGAGCTGGGCAGATTTGTCAACAACTATCTGCACCTGTCTTCAAAACTATAAGACACCCTACACAGAGCTTTTCTTGAAAAATATCTGGAAATTGTTATACTGATTTAGTTGTGGAGAGTGTGACTTCAATTATATTGAGTCTCAGCATTTTGTAACTTACCGGGCAGTAGAGAAAGACAGAGGTAGGAACATCTTTATTTTTGTTCCAGTTTCTTGTTTGTCTGAAGTTGCTAATTAATGGATGATTCCTTTCACTCTTTGTTTTGCTAGCACATTTATTTTCTGACCCCCTGCCTGACAGGATGAAATTAGCTAGGAGCCAGTTTTGTACCTTAACTCTAGGTATTTCTGGTAATAGAGATGCATCTGAGCAGGTGAAAATAACACAAACTATGCAGTGATGTCATAATACAAAATCAGTTTATATACATGTATGGGATGTCCCAATACAAGTACAAGAGGGGACGGAACAACACAGCATGAATATAAAGCAAATATCACAACTCCCCTGGTAAACCAACAGGACCTCATAAGACATGCACAATAATTGGGTTCACTTACCACATTAAGTCAGAATGAACAAGCCACATTCTAAGGTAATGTGTAGTGCACATTTAAGCTACCATCTTCATTAGATGAGTTGAATTTATCCCCATGGAAAAAGAAAAGGCCACATTATGATTACTGCTACAGCAGTAATAAAGGCACTTTCTCAACATTAGATAGGAGCTTGGCTACAGTACCTATTACCATACTGTTTAAGAATCTATCTGAAACAGGTGGCAGAAGTAATTCCCTGTTATGAATAAGATGTTATCAATGTTTTAGTAATATTCAACTCAGTTTTCCAGCTACTAAATGTATGGGTCTCTGTCTTGAATTAATAAATGGAAGGACTGATCAGATAAATGAGGGCTAGAAGGATTAGAGCCTGAAAATCTTAACCTAGTTAAACCAGAGTTTCTGTTTATAGTATTTCCTCAGATCATTCAGAAAGCAGACTTGCCAAGTTTATGTCTCTATCAAATTGGATATGGACTTAAATTTTCATTTTTTATAGGCACGTTGCAGAATCCAGCTGTACTTTCTTTCAATGCTATTTCTTACATAGACTCCTTTCTTACAAAAAGTCTGTTTTGTAACACTAACTTATGGTCACCATGATGTAAAAAAGATGTTAAGACTCTAGAAAGAGTACAGAGAAGAGCAACAAAGATGATTAGAGGGTTAAACTGGAGGCTAAAAGGAACAGTTGCTGGAATTGGGTATGTCTAGTTTAATGAAGAGAAGGATGAGGGGGGACATGATAGCAGTGTTCCAATATCTCAGGGGCTGCCACAAAGAAGAGGGAGTCAAGCCATTCTCCAAAGCGCCTGAGGGCAGGATAAGAAGCAACAGATGGAAACTAATCAAGGAGAGAAGCAACCTAGAACTAAAGAAAAACTTCCTGAGAGTTAGAACAATTAATTAGTGGAACAACCTGCCTCCAGAAGCTGTGAACGCTCCAATACTGGAAGTCTTTAAGAAGAGATTGGACAGCCATTTGTTTGAAATGGTATAGGGTTTCCTGCCTGAGCCAGAGGTTGAACTAGATGACCTCCAAGCTCCCTTCCATCATCATCATCATCATCATCATCATCATCATTATTAATTATTAATTATTAATTATTAATTATTAATTATTAATTATTAATTATTAATTATTAATTATTTTATTTTTATTATTATTATTATTATTGGATCATCGCACAGTCAGCCAGATGTTCAGACTGGATTTGGCATTTTGTCTACCTATCGAGTCCTTACCAAGGACCTGGGATAGGCAGATGTGGATGTTTGATGTTATTACAAATATCGTCGCAGGATGGAGGCAGTTCCTAGTAAGGCCGCCTTTTGCAATTGACTAATGGCGAATTTGTCAATGCCAATGGTGTTCAAGTGGTGCTCCAGTTATTATTATTATTATTATTATTATTATTATTATTATTATTATTATTATTATTATTATTATTTCCTTGTAACAAGAATCTTCATAACTATATTTTATTCTGCATGGGCTGTTCATGATGACAACTTAGAACATTTAGCAGTTGCAAAACTGCTGTACATTGGATGTGAGGACAATCTGCTGCAACATCTGTCACTCTATTCATTGATCACCAGGGTTGATTCGGCTGATCTGGCTGTACATTTCCTAACTTAACAGGAAAGGTGAACATATTTAGACAACTTTTGTTTTAAGTCTCAATTCAGTTCTTACTTTGAACATTGCTGCTTGTGGCTCCCCAAGCTCATGAAATGGAGCCTTTGCTGTTGACATTTCAATGATAGTACATCCCAGGGACCAAATATCAGCTGGTGCCCCATATCCTTGAGGGCCCTTATCAATGATCTCTGGAGCCATATATTGCAAAGTACCTAAAATTAAGGAGGATAAAAGAAACATTATGTGAACAGACTATTCTCTACTTTGAATATTTAAACTGCAGTTATAATACAGATGAATTTAACAGGTAGACCAGTGTCAATACTGGTAACTCTTGACTGCTAGACTGTTTTACTACAATTTGTTTAAATGTTTGCCTCTACATATGGAAAAGAAAAAAGTTCCTTCCAATAATATTGAAAAAATTATGCTTCAGTGCATCTTCTAGGTGCATATTCAGAAGCTTAATTATTCAACATTATACAATGAAAAAATGTGCTATTAAATACCAAACTTGTGAAGATAATCTTTATTGTCATTTTTTACTGTGGGCACACTGGCACACATTAAAAATGAAATTCTGTTGCCTGCTCTAAAAGGTGTACGCATACATAATACATATATAAACATGCCATATACAACGTATGTATATACCTATACCCTTACATATAAATAAATATAAATATTAATCACTGTCCATCTTGAATACATAGTGGAAAGAGGAAGCTTGAGAGTTCACAAGAGTAATACTATACGGAACAAAACTGTGACTGAATCTGGATGTTCTGCTTCGGATACCATGAAGCCTCCTCCCAGAAGATAACAAGGAAAACAGGTTGTGAAGAGGATATGTAGTGTCCCACACAATTCTGCGGACCCTGCTCAAGCAACATTTATATGCTGGATAGAAGGGAGTGAACTGCCAATAATCTTTTCTGCCATCCACACCACTCTCTGCACCGCCTTCCTGTCTGAAGCAGTGATGCTTCCAAACCAGGCTGTAATGCAATATGACAGGATGCTCTCGATCGTCCCTCTATAGAAAATGGTAAGGACAGGGGAAGGAAAATGTGCTTTTCTCATGCGATGCAGAAAATGCAGGGGCTGCTGTGCCTGCTTCACCAATGTCTCGCTGTTGAGCAACCAAGCCAACCTACTCATTAGTTGCACACCCAGAAATTTGATGCTGCTAACCATCTCCACAAGTGAATCATTAATACATAGAGGAGTGTGGCTGTGCCTGCCTTTTCTGAAATCAGCAATGATCTCTTTAGTTTTTCTAATGTTTAAAACTAGACTATTTTTCTTACATCATAAATTAATAGATGATTGTGTAAAAATAGTTATACCTACATTTATTTATATATTCCTGAATTGAATAGGAATATATGTTCAGTGAATATATTCTAGTGAATATTATCCAGGTTGCTGACCAGATTTTCACTTATTCAACTTGAATAAAGCCATGGCATTTCATGTTACCCAATCATTCTCTAAATCCTGGATTAATTTTAAACTTCTTCTAAGGTGATATCCTTTATAATAGTCTGTGTAATTTTTTAAAAGTTGTAATAATATACCATTTATCCAGCAGTAATTCTCTCAGAATTTTACTGGGGTTGTTAGTGAATTATTGTTGGCAAACAACAACAACAAAAAATAACAACAGACCATATTAAAACTATTTGGATTTTAAGTGAAATTGGTTTGTTGAAAAAAAACAAGAAGTCTGGTGTATAAATTATCTTAACCTAATCAGCAATGAATGCAGCTATTTATTATTGCTTGCATGAGTAATACTTGTACAAATAAATTAGGCAGAAGGGACCAGTATAATGGCTTATAAGGTAGCATTTAAATTATAGATCTTAGATGTTATTTATCTCCAATAAAATTATGAAAGCACACTAGGACTAAAAATGAGCTTTGGTGCGGCTTGTTCTCACTAAAAGTTGTCAAAATGGATTATTGCTGTCCTTATTCATTAACAAAGGTACTGCATATAGCATAAGAACAACTTTATGTGACTCATCAATCCATCAACACCATGACTGGCAGCAGAGATCAATATGTATGGGCCCATCTGGTGACTACTATGAGGTGTGGAGGTCTATGGATTTGATCATAACAGGAGAAAAGAGTGAGTAGTATGAATTAATTCAGTTAATAAAAGAAGTGAGGAGGAAGGAGGACTATGTATGTTCACCACCTAGAGTTACTTAAAAGTAATAAAGGCAGGATAAAATAATAATAATGCCATTTTTAAATAAATATTGAAGAATAGGAGCAAACAAGGGTTTTTTTTGCTATTTTTTTAATAGCTAAGTTCCATGGCAATTCACAATACAGATTCTTTTTTAAAACCATAAAAAGCCAAAACATATATTAATAATAAAAGCCTACAGTTTAACCTCTTTACCAATTTGTTCATTATTAAATAGGAAGATATTATTCAAAATTGGTGAAAACAAGAAAAGCAAAAAGATTGTTAAGAATTATTTGACATCATATAACAGTACCCTGTTAAAAAGCAGAAAAAAAGAATAAATTGGAAAAAAAACTTTTGAGTTGCAGTTTTTTTTTCATTGAAAAAGAATCTATATAGGAACAGTTTCCTTTGTTTTTGCTTAATATTTGATACAGAAATCCTAACTTAACATTTATTTGAACATAAGCTCCAATAAAATCTGGACTATAAATGCATGAACAAATATATTTTGGCAGAATCTCTAAGATTATTACATAAAATAGAAGATATAAAATACTGGCAAGGTTGATAAAATGATTTTATAAAAGCTTAAATGCCTTCAAATACATTATGAGATTTGAAAGACCAAAGCCACCAACTCACCATTCCCACCTAGGCCCCAATGAATACCAATCTGCCTTTGCAATTTTGTTTGCACAGAGAGACTAGTTTTGGTCACTTCAGATGTGCTGGACTGCAGTTTTCAAAATTGTCTTGAGACCCAGCCCTAAGAATCTAAAGAACACCAGGTTGGCAAAGCCTGGGGCAGTCAGTATGAACCTTGATACAAATGTCAAATAAAGGAAACAACGTATTTTGGATACTTATAGCTTCTCTTTATTGGCAATGAAGTCAAATGTACTTTGTACCTTCTTTATAAACCATAAAGGTTTTTATAGAGCCAATTTGGTGTAGTGGTTAAGGCATTGAACTAGAAACCAGGAGGCTAAGAGTTTTAGTCCTCACTTAGGCATGAAGGCAGTTGAGTGATCTTGGGCTAGTCACATTCTCAGTCCTAGGAAGCAGGCAATGACAAACCAATTCTGAAAAATGTTACTAATAAAATTGAAGAGACTTGTCCAGGCAATCTCTGACAATTGGACACAATTGAACGGAAGAAAAAAGTTTTATAACAGGTCAAGACCATTTTCTCTGCTATTGAATAGATAAATACCTATGCTTTTTAAGTTAGCTTTTTACTAAATAGTGAGAGTATTGGTAGAATAATGAAAAGTTAACTGAAGGATATTATTCTCTATCCTCCCTATTTATTTCTACATACATTGACTACTGTTGGTAGTCAATAAGTTCCATGTGTGACCAAATAGGATATTACCTACAAAATGAAATAGACACATTCTAGAACATTTCTGTTCTTACCTGTAAATGTTTCTGTACATGGATTGACTCCTGCAAGGCGTTTAGAAGTTCCAAAATCAGAAATCTTTACTACTCCACTGTACGTATTAACTAAAACATTGTCTCCCTAAAGACAAATAGAAAATAAGTGTAATGTATTGAAATCTCCAGGAACTATGGTAAACAATCTGTCTGAATTCTGCCTCTAATATCACATCACTTATTCCAGATCAGAAGCAAAAATGGCTGTTTCCCTCCCTAACTCTATCTACTTTGCAAAGAGAATCCATAGGGAAATGGTGAATGGGAATGCTCCAGGTCTTATTAGATATTCATAGAAGAAATTTATGAAGATTCCTATCATTAGTAGAATGGTAACACTTCTTAAATATTTATTTTTTAAAACCTGCAATGATAAACAATATATGCTCACTTTTATGTCTCTGTGTACAATCTGATTCTCATGGAGATATTTCAAACCTTCTAGTATCTGCTTGGTATAAAACTTAATGGTGAGCTCTTTCATTGGTCCCCATTTTGATCTAAGGAGTGCAGAAAGACTTCCTATAGAAGAAAAAAATAAGCTGTAAAGTCACTCAGATTATAAATATGATGTAGTTTGATTTTTATGTATTTTATAAATAAAGTTCTCAAAAATAAGTACAGTATTACTCTTAGACAATCATTTGCAAAAATTCAATATGAGCTAATCAAAAACGAACATTTTGTGTCTGAGTCTAATAATTCTAGCAACCTGATTCTATTTATCTAAGATAAATTGCACTGTGATACGGAAGGACATCATGGATTCAGCATGAGAGGTTGGATGCATTTTCTTATTTGGACTGAGTCAATTCCAATATAATTAGAGGTAACGTAATACCTTCGCAAATGTTTAAAATACAAATTATTTGAGCCTGAATTCTAAATTCTTTCTGATTTCTACTTATATGTAATATATGATTAAATAAATACAAACCACCAGGAACTTGTTCCATGAAGATTTTAATATATCCATCTTCAGAAACAGAACCAAGATACTGAACAATATTTCGGTGTTTTAGATATTTGTGAAGAGCAATTTCTTCATGCAGTGGCTGAGAATATCTATCATGAAGATATATAGAGAAAATGAGGAGTCTTAAGAAAGTAGAAGAAAACCTTTTAGCCTAAATAAATCACATTATGAATTACATGTGTTGTCAAAGCTGATTTGACTCCATAGTTGCAGCTGCTGTCGCTTGGTTTGCCAAACAGCAAGGGAGGGAGTGGGTGAATTCCTAAGGGGGGATGGAATTACTGGAATGCAAGTGAGCCTTCTGTCACAGGTGAGAGTTATCCACCAAGGTCAAGTTATGAAATATTTGAGCAGTGCAGACAGTCTTTTCCCAAAACAAAAGAAGTGAATCCAATTGGTGAACTATAAACTGTGGGGGGCCCGGAGGGGGGAAAGGAAAACCCTATGTGGGGTTTTGTAAGAAAGTCCCAGAACTGACTTTGATTCTGCTGTACCTAGATGGATCTTTCAATAAAGCTACACTCTTGGTGATTTAAAATAGCCAAAAGTTTATTTGATTGAATGTGACAAATGGGACAGTTGACATGTGTAACTTCTGTTTTTTTAAAGTAGTAGAATAAAGTCACATAATGAGCAGCAAAGGTTGTGCAATGATTAATAATGCTTCAGCAAACTTATGCAGATAAATATGGTCTCAATAAATTGAATATTCTTTTGTTCCTTTATCCAGGAGATACAAGGAAAACTATTTAAGCAAGAAATTAGGAGAAACATATTGAATAATTTCACAAATTATAAGTCAGCTAACATACTGTATTTTATTTTTCCCTTCCTATCGCTGCATATATAATTGCAATATCTTCTAGTTCACCTTGGTCATGTAATTTCAACCATGGAGCAATGTGAATTTGCTCTTTACTCTAGTTCAGTGATGGCAAACCTTTTAGAGACCGAGTGCCCAAACTGCAACCCAAAACCCACTTATTTATCGCCAGGTGCCAGGTGGGCGTGGCCCACTGGGTGGGCATGGTTGTGGTGGTCATGGTAGATTGGGTGGGTGTGGCCAAGGTGGGTGTGGTCACGTCAATGTTGCTCATGGGGAGGGATGCCTGTGGGGGGTGGGCAGGGTTGGGGGAGATCCAGGGGGTCTCTGGCAGGTGGGGCAGTAGACAGGAGGCTCGTCCTGTGGGGTGAGGTGAGGAAGGACGGGGGTGCCATTGCCATGGGGCAAGGCAAGGGCCAGGGCGGCTGCTGCCTGACACCATTGGCCCCCGCACACAGAGGCCAGCGAGCGCATGGGGGCTGATGGTGTCCGTCAGCAGCCACAACCTGCCAGCCCCTTGACCGGCACATTCTGGGGCTCCGCAGCCCACCGCCAGCAGTTCAAAGAAGCCGCCTCTGAGCTGGATGTCTGGCCGACAGCTGAGAAGGCGATGCAGTGGGTCGTGCCCAGGAAAAGGAGAGCATGCAAGGCCAGGAGGGACAGGACCAGAGGGAGGGAAACCAGCCGCGCCGGGATGCATCCGGCCACGTGGGACTTCGCCGAGTTAGCAGGCGGCTGGTTGAAGAGGGACAGTTGCCATCTCCAGGGCATGGTGCACGTGCCCACAGAGAGGGCTCTGAGTGCCGCCTCTGGCACGCGTTCCATAGGTTTGCCACCACTGCTCTAGTTTATGGCTGTATTGGCAAAAGTCTGCCAATGGGGATGAGACTGCAGTGATCTAGATCTTCACCTGCCCATTATCTCAAAACATGTAGCAATGTGACTTTTCTTTCACTGAACACTTAACTGTAATTTGCTTACTATAAAGGAATGACTTGAAATTAATTCATAGTATCCTTCTTAGCATTTCATAATCAAGAGAGAGTAAACACATACTCTCCAAAATTGTGGATAAATGTTAAAATCTGTCCTCAAGATTAATATATTGTGTTTCCCAGAACCATTAGGAAAAATATCAAGATTTACCTGCTATCTTTTTCTAGCACTTCTTTGATGGCTATTCGAACTTGATTGCTAAGATCTCTTCCAGCATAAACTATTCCATAGGTTCCTTTCCCTAATATAACTCTATCTCCATTCTCATCATAGTCATATTCATACTGAAGGCAAAAAAGAAAATAACATTCAAAAATAATCTTCCAAAACAACAAAAAAGTAAAATCATCAAACCAATTTTAATACACGTGATTAACAATTTATTGACATAATTTAGCAAGCATTCTGGAAATTACAAATCAATCATTTTTGCAATGTTTGATGGTCGCTAAAGCTCTAAAAACCTGTTTGTGTAATTGAAAAAAACTACTAGTTCTAATCAACACAGAGAGCAGCTGACCAAAGACATTAATGCACCATCGTAGGTAAAAATGTTTTGATCTAAATAGTGAAAAATGAAAAATGCTGGAATAACAGAAAATAGATTATATCCATGTTTGCTTATTTTATTTACATCATCTGTTTTGGCCCACAGGATATGGAAAAATCTGTAACTGGAAAAAAAAAAGTAAGTTTGAATTTAAAAAATCTAGTATATAATGACGACACATTCTAAAACATCACTATAGTGGCAAAATGTACCTCAAAACTGATGCTATATAAATATAACTTACACAAATTATTCACTGGACCAAGTAGAAGTTTTGAATTATTATAAAAACTGATTACTTATATGGAACTGCAGTTTCCAAATAGTCACCCGTGAATTCACATACATGAATTATACAGAACTTTCAAGAGAAATATTTGGTGGGAATCTCATCTCATGCATAACAAATTAATAGGTGCAACTCCTTCCAGAACATTTTGGTTGCTAAGGCCAACACAGGAGACAAAGTCAAAGCCTGTGATTGAGCAAAAGAGTAGTGAAAGAAACAGAAACAAATGAACATGCCAAGAACTGCAACTGCAAGCAGGTATTCAGTCCTTTTTATCAGATTTCTGTGATTTTGGCACATGAGCAATTGGCAAGCTTGTCTACAGAAGAGCCTGGTCTTCATAAGATGAACAAAAGGAGAATAATCTTTCCAAAAAATGTATAACTGTGAGAACAAACTCAATGCATGATGACGCAACCTATGTAACTACCTAGCACAATTCTTTAGGAAAAGAGAAGCTACACAATACAGAGTAGCATGAATATTGTAGGGCAGGCGTGTCCAACCCACAGATCGTGGGCCACTTGCAGCCCTGGATAGCTAGTAATGCAGCACTACAAGATAATAAATAATATTAAAAAATAAAGGAATTTTGTTATTTATATACATTAACTATTTTATATATTTTATATGCAGCCCAAAACAATTCCTCCTCACTCAGTGAGGCCCTGGGCAACCATGTTGTAGGGCTCCCAAAGATGCTTTTTCATGAGGCAACTGGACTTTCTTGTTTTTCTTTGAAGAGAAAAACAAAGTCCAGTTGCTTTGTGAAAATCCATCTTTGGGCTAACTATGACCTGGATGACTAAGAATCTCCATAGGCATGTTGTAGGGCTTCTATCAAACATTTGTGTATTACCTAGAGAGTTTATACAGATTTTTCACAGATAATCCATTTGTGTGAATCAGAGAAATCTTAATAAGGAATACTTGTATAAATATGCGTAAACAAAAATACTAATTATATACAGAGCAAAAAATCCAATTTATATGTAAATCAAAAAGGCAGAACAATTTTGAAAATATTTCAATTAAAAATGATAGTACTTGTGTCTATCCCAATGTTACTATTGTCAGCTTATTTCACTTACATCAACAAATCATTATTCAAGATTTCTCTGAGTTTCTCTGGAATACAATAGCTCTGCAGTATGTCCTTGAAGTTTTCCTCAATCTCCTCAAGCTTTCTGTTTCCATACAGAGCATATTAGCAAAGTCCTTGTATACTCTAATATGCATTACTACTATATCTCATCTTTCCAACACTTTTATTTTGGGGGCTTCAGCAATTCATTGTTTTTCCTTCTGAGTTGTTTTATATGATCAGCATTCTTACTCAGTAATAAAACAATGTTTTGCCACACCCCATATTTCATAGCTACAAAGCAGTACAGTATAGTACAGTGGTAGCTTGAGCCAAATTTAGGTTTCTCTGAATTTTATTTTAGTACATTAATAACAGAGTTGTATTATGTAACCTCAGATACTTATGCTAGGATAACAGTCCCAGTTTCTGCAAAATATCTAAAGATACAAATGTAAAAACATTGTGTGCAAGGAGAAATTCCATGGTCTTGGGATCCAGAACATAGGCATCTACTCCATTTTCTTAAGCAATCAATCTAAACCAGAGTATGTCAAAGGATTTTAAAATATTCCCATAGCAATTTGATACTATAGAAACATTTTGATTTTTAACAAAGAATAGAATAAATTGATTTGTTTTATATGACCTTGGCTATGGTAGGAAGATTGTAATGTAGTCAAACCTTATTTACAATTCAACAACAACCGTTTTATTATAGGGTTTTTGTAGATGTTAGCATCTCAAAGAGTAAATGGACAGACAAATCAACTAAATTGTCTAAGCACTTTGTAGACAGAAGGTACATAGAAACACAGGATTTGTGAATTAATCAACAAAAGTTGTATATTTCTTTATGCTATACTTTAGGCTTTCATGTATAAAACAATTAACAAGTTATGAAATATTATTAAAAAAGGGAAGTCAAAGGTAAACCCACAAGGATCTGTTTTACCCCACAACTGACTTCACCCATGTAGCCAGAACTCTGTATTCTGGCAGGCAAGATCTTTATAAAATTCCTAATAAATTTCCTATAATACACCCAAATATAATTTTATCTGGAATTACTAAAAAATCCCCTTTTTCATCAATTTTCTGCTCTTGTTGTTGTCCTTAATAAATCTTGTTTTGATAGTTTGTTATTTAACAATTTTTGCATCACAGAGTTCAAATAGTCTATGCAAAATGCAAGAGAAAACATCATCTAAAACAGGGTTTCCCAAACTTGGCAACTTTAAGAAGCCTAGACTTCAACTCTCAGAATTTCCCAACCAACCATGCAGGCTGGGGAATTCTGGGAATTGAAGTCCATGCTTCTTAAAGTTTCCAAGATGGGCAACTCTGACCTAAAACATTGCAGAATGAAATATTATCCCTAAATATTTTAGAAGTTATATACTGGACATTTTGATCAGCTTTTCTATAAAGGATAGAAGAAATCAGGAAATAAAGTATAAGGCAATTTGGGAAGCATAAATCTGAGGCTTTGAATCAAATTATAATTTCCTATAATTGTTTCCGGTTTTGGATAAAGAGATTTGGGTATATGAACACTGAACAATACATTATAAGGTCTGCTGTAACTATTATTTCAAATCTATATAAATATTAGCTACATCAATCATTTAAAATATCTAATCTCAAGGATCTTTACTCAGGGTTTAATATTAAATTATTATCAACTGGGTTTCTATTATTGAAATCATGAAATCAATTTTTCAGGAAAAAAAGCTTAAAGTACTGAGGCTAATGCAGTTTGTGAAAAATATAGATTATTAAGCATGATGAAAAATATGTAACATTTTTTAAAGAAAAACTACATCTTTATTTTATAAGGATATCATTAATATTTAACTTTTTCCTGTCATATTGCAGGAAAAATACATACACACAAACATAATCTTTTATTTATAAAGAAAAAATCTGCTTAATCTGTAAAGGTAAGTACAGATTGACTGTAAATTCTCTTAACTGAAAGGCTATTTATTTCTTACATTAATATACCTAGTATATATAATAGAAACAAACAGAATTATAGACTTGTTTCTTTATCTCAGTAATTGCAACTTACTTCCAATGTATCACCATCAATCTCTGCTTCAAGTTGCAGGGTATTTCCTATAGCATCAGTTAAGATCTCCTTAACCAAAGCACAGAATCTGAAAGCAATATACATCTCACAATCAAAGGCAAAAAAAGTATCTGTTTGCCTGCTCAACCAGAATTAAACATTTTATGTATAAGTCCATTATACATTTTATGTATAATTCATACAAAGAAAGCCAACATGCCTTACAGATTCCCTTAGCATATACTGAGACAAGCATGATATTGCAATACCCTTCATAATAGATCTAAAATGCTTCTACATCAAAATACTTCATAATTTCAAATATACTTAATAAATATTGTGCTTATTGTTTTAAATCAGGGACAGTCCAAATAATATAACTGTCTAAGGCAGAATCAAATAACAGTACAGGTAGTCCTCAAGTTACAAATGTAATGGAGCCTGCTAATTCTATTCATAACTCGAGGATTTGTAGAAGTGAATCATGTACCTTGAACGTGATTACTCCCTACTTTCATCTACGCATTTGCTAATCAAATGTGCAGGTTGTTAAAAGTACATGAGATATTTCAGGGTGGGGAAGGCCATGGGGGGGCCTAGTGATTGAACAGACCCCCAAGGCCTTCCTCATCTACTGATATTGCTGTGCCGGACTCACTTACCTTGCAAAGATCTGTCTCCTGCGGTTTCTTTGCCTTTGAGAGAGAGGAGAGTAGGACGATTTCCCTTCCAGCCTACAGGCTGTAAATGCTTTTTGCGCCAAGAATGAAATGTTCGGGGGAGGGCATGATCTCACATGACTTCAGGCACCCATTCTCTCCAAAAATAGATGGGTACCTTAAGTCGAACGAGATCACAGCCCCCAGAACCTTTCACTCTCGGCACACAAAGCATTTCCAAGCTGACTCTTGGAAATCATGGCAGAGATGAGACCGATCTTTGCAAGGTAAGTGAGTCAGGCGCAGCAGGATGGGAGGGAGAAGCAGTTTTGGAGCGGGGGGGGAACAGGATGAACATTGCAGAGCCTCTCTGGTCATTCGTTAAGGGTGAACAACTACTGTGATGCTGCAACATTCACAATTTCGGGACTTGGTTGTAAACACTAGGGGGGCACTTATCGCGTAACTTCGAATGGGCGCTAAGTGAACTGTCGTAACTCGGGGGTTATCTTTATCTCACACAGATACTATATCACCAACATTCTTAAAAAACTTTCATTAAGACAAGAAAATTGAAATGAAATAGAAATTTAGAATGTTATGAATATTTTTCCTTACAATTAGAAAAAACATTAAAAACAGAAATCACACCTATAATGTAATATCAATTAATAATTTATCTTATATATTTTCATCACTTTTTTCATTGATCATATTTATTGAAATCGATATAAAATAAAAAATGCAAAACAGGACAAAGCTTATTTGCTTTATTCCTTCTCATGCTGGTTTTGTATCAAAGTTAGTAACATTTGTATGAATTATTTTGATCACTGGTAAAAACAAAGCAAAACAAAACAAACAAACCTCTTACCTACTACATTGACACTCTGTAGAAAAACAGATTTGAAAGTCATCAGAGTTGTCATGCACATAGAGGAAACAGCATCGTTCATCAAATTTAGATATGCTGCAAATATCCAATGAAAATAAGATTAGATAAAGAATAAGATTAGATAAAGAAACAAATGTAGAAAATCAATCAATTTAAGTAAAAATAATGGGTAGCTCAGTTTTCCAGATATAATATTTCATAATTTTGAAAAGCTTCCTTTAATATTTTATAGAAAGAATAGCTTCCATGCCAGAGCTATCAGGTTTAAAGATAATGATAAAATTTCACCAAAAAAGCATAAAGATACAGCTGGAACAATGAAAGTCATGTAAGATTTCTCAGGTTTTCTCAGTGAGAAGTTCAAATACAGGGAGTCCTCAACTAACAACCCTTAAAAATCTTTCGTTGGCAAGAAAATTGAAATGAATTATGGTTATTAAATGGCTTCCCCATTAACGTTGCTTGCCAGAAGTTGCAAAAAGTGATCACATAACCCTGGGACACTGCAACTATCATAAATATGAGTCAGTTGCCAAGTATCTGAATTTTGATCACGTGACCATGGGAATGCTGCAACGATTGTAAGTGTGAAAAACGGTCATAAGTCAGCTTTTTTCAGTGCCCTTCAGTCACTAAATGAATTGTATTTCCATGACTTTAAAAGAAACTATCCTATTTAAATGTTGTAAAATGCATATCTCTAATTGATTGTAGAAAATTATTTTGATGCTTTTACTTTGTTAGGTTACTTTTTTACTATGCTAGTATTCTTCATAGATTCAAATCCAATTAAGCGTTAAGACATTTTCAGGTTCATGCTAGCAAAGCACATTTAAGTTATCTGGGTAGAGTTTTGATTATTCCTGAGAAAGCGGACAGGTTCCTTAGGATGTTGAGTTCTGCCATTTGTACGTTAAATATAGAAAGGAGGTGGGTCACCTGCTGAGTAGTGAACAAAGTAAACACTTCCTGAAAAGTTCATCACAGGACCTGGTTGTACTAGACAATTTTTATCCAATCTTCAGCCTTCCCTTTCTGGAGAAGGTTGGTGAGAAGGAGTAGGGCTGAAGCTCCAAAGGAAAAAGCAGATTATTTGGCTCGTTGGCTCATGGATTTCAGACACAATATAGCAACTTGATTTGCACCTGAAACCATTGGGAGTTCTTGCCCCATCTTGAGCCAGTCATTTTCAGCCCTAGGAAAGAGGCAATGGCAAACCACTTCTGAAAAATCTTGCAAAGAAAACTGCAGGGATTTGTCCAGGCAATGTCCAAGAATCAGACATGGTTGAATAGAAGAAAAAAAATGAGTTTGTTGTCAGAGATCATCAGTTCATAACAAACAATGATAAAGAATGATGATAAAAAATAAAAATCTTCAGGGGCATTGAAAAAGTATTATGCGTGCCTAGACTTGGCTAAGATACTATTAGTTTTTCAATGTTATAACTGCTTGTATTTTTTACAATTCTGTTTTATTTGCTTTTTGATTTCATATTAAAATCATTCAAAGAGACAAAGAACTGTTGTTAAAATGAAGAATTTATGGTACAGATAAACAATTGTATCATTAATTTCCACAGTTATTAGTAATATTTATCCAGGTAATATCTGAGAATCAGAATAAGCACATTTTGTATGCTAGTTGTGCCCAATACCTAAGTCATCTGTCAACTGGATTACTACAATACAGTTTATATGGGGCTGTCCTTGGAAAGTATTCATAATGGAGAAGCATGTGCAGATTTGGATGCACCCCAGTATGGAATAGCCTATGTAACATCTTTGCTGTGTGAGTGCACTGGCTCCCAATGGATTCAGGTGCAAATCAAGTTGTTGGTTTTTATCCTTAAAGCTCTACATGGCATAGAGGAGATGGCTCTCTATGGTGGTTTCTACCTGACCCACCAGATTTGGTAGTATGGACGTACTTTGGGCATCTTCAGTGAAACAATGTCATTTGTTGGATCCCAGGAAACATGCCTTCTTTGTTATGTTATCTTTTGGTTTTAGTGGAAATTGTCTTTTTCACTTTGTTCATTACTCAGAGTTACTTTATATAAGTGGGTGGCCATATAAATTGAACTAATAAATATTTAGTAATTCTTGCCAAAGAAACATGTTATCAGGATAAAAAGAACAATATTCAGGCCCATCTAAAACATTAACATCTTATCATCTAAAACATTAACATCTTATCAGTAATTACATAACAATAATTTGTGCCACCTTGCTGAAATTTGCAGTCAGTCCAAAAGCAATTTGCATGAAACAAGAAATCATAGTACTCTGGATGAACACAAGAGAAAGTAATGACATTTTTAGGGGACTTCCGGTGGCAGGCGTCGTCGGTCGCAGCTGTTTGCTGCCTCCCGCCTGTTTCGCGTAAAAGCCGGTTTGACAGCTAGCATCAGCTGTCAAACGGCTTGATACCTTTCCCCTGGGCATAAGGGGATAGGTGAGCTGCCCGGGGTAGGAGTTGAGTTCCCGAGTCGTCCTATATGGACGATGTAGGTGAGAACTCCTCCGGAGCCCCGAGGATTCNGAACAAGGTCTAGGATATAAGATTTTAGACACTGAATAAGCAAAACTCCTTCCCTCGTGCTTGAATGAATTTATTACCGCATTTCCCCCAAAATAAGTCCGAGTCTTATATTAATTTTTGCTTCAAAAGATGCATTAGGGCTTATTCTCCAGTTAGGTCTTATTTTGGGGAAAATACAGTACTAAATGCATCCTTCTGGAAGATGATCTTAATTGGGGCTTATTTTTGGGGTAGGGCTTATATTATGAGCATCCTGAAAAATCACGCTAGGGCTTATTTTCCAGTTAGGTCTTATTTTTGGGGAAACAGGGTAAGATGTTGCCTTGATGAGTTATTGAGTCTTTTTCTCAAAATGCAAACCTGAAAGGCTGACCTTGAAACATACAACTGCTCTTCATTGGTGAGGTTCTGAAATATTTACTTTTCTATCTCAGGTTTAAAATATTTTTGTACAGAAATGTTCTTTGAGGTCTTTTTAAGGAGTAGAAATTGGGAAATGTTTGTATGTGTATGTACAATGAAGACAAATATAGTCCCAATGTCTTAAATATTCTTGACAAATGTTTGGTATTCTCTGCTTTCTTACATGTGAATGCATAAAGGACATTTAATTTCCGTTCTAGAATGTATGAACTTTAGCACTGCATGGACTCTAAAAGCAATTCACCTTTAGAATTTATTTTAATTCTCGGTTACAATTTGACCTCCAATATGCTGAAATATTTTTCTAATTCCTAGAAGCGGCTCTAATGAGGTTCTTCTACCTCATTTTTCAGAAAAAAAATAAAATTGTTTTTATTGATACATATGTATGGACTTACTTTCCTGTTTGGATACAGAGGAGACCAAACATGATTGAGAATAGAAAAAAAAAAAGAAATATTACAAACAGGATTGCTTTATTCTTGATAGAATTTCAAGTTTGATACTTGGCTTTCAACATTATGAATGTCTGACTTTCTGAACACATATTATGATTTGACTTCAGTTTTGGTGGGGCCACCTAATAGAGTGGTTTTGCTATCATGCTGTTCATCTTCTGAGGCTGCTCAGTTAGAAGTTCCTTCTCCTAGTTGGTACTGAATTCATGTCTGGAACTTTCTAATTTCTTTGATAAACACAGTGCTTGGCATTCCATTGATGGTGTCAGTTACCAGAACACACAGAAACTAAGGGGTTTCATACAGAAACGTTTATTTCAGGAAAATAGCAATGTCTCTCTAACTGTGGAAAGACTGTAAATAGGATCTGGCTGAAGCAACTGTTGTGTGTAAAATTAGCATAGATTAAAATGCACATTCAAACATAGGAATGGTAAGTTTATTTATTGCACTGGGCTTTTTGTGTATCTGCAAAATGGGAAACAAAAAGGATAGAATATATGAACCAGAAATTTCTTCCTTTTTTATTTTGCAAACAGTTTACCATGCATGAGCAATCTTAGCATTTTATCAAGAAACTGAAGTATTTGATAAAAGTAAAATTTTATAGGTATTAAAATAGGCAAAGTCCTCTTTCCAGAATGAATTTCTTAGGTGAGGATTATACAATTCAATAACAAGGTTAGAAACATAATATATAGAGCTGAGACAAAAAATAAAACAAAGAACTATATTTATTTCAATGTATATGCCCTCACCCTCCTGACATTGTGACTCTGGGCAGTGAACCACCATTAAAAACATAAAAATAACATCAACATAAAAGCATTTAAAAATGCATAATTTTAGCCAGTGTTGGAAACTGTCATAACCAACAAAATAACCATCCTGTGGAACGTGCCACATGTTCTGATCCACGTGCCTAGTGGCATAATCAGATTTTCCAAAATATACAAAAGACCACCAGGGTTGGGGCTAGTTTAACCTCCAGAGGAATGATGATCCAAAGAGCACATGCCATGAGAAAGGAGACTCATTTTTTGGATGCTGCCAGATGGATACTACATAATAGACAGGACCCATAGCATTCCTCTTCTGTCAGTTCTGATAGAATGGGTAAATACAATTTGGAAGAGGTGGTTCCTCAGATAACGTAGCTCCATGTCATGAAAGGCTTAACAGCAACTCAAACTGGATCCAGAAACCCAGTGGCAACCTATATAACTAGCAACGAAGGAGTGCCAATAACTGCCTGTAATGCTTCATTTTCCATCAGTTGCTGCTTTGAATTGTTCTTCAGCCTCATATAAAATACATTGAATTAATCTATTTGGGAGATGACTAAGGTCTGAGAGACTATGGCAGAGTCTCTTCCTCAGGAACAGGTGCGATTGGCACACAACATGAAGTTGTATAAAATTATCCTGGCCATGGTAGCCACCTACAAGAAGCCATGAGTCCAGTTTGTAAGCAGACGAACCAACCTTGGAAGTTTGTTTTTTATATTGGACTTTACTCTAACTTGGATAATAAGTTTTTCCCCGTACTTGTGTTGGTCTGAGGAAAAGTGAACTTAAAATGGCGATCGATTGATACTTTTCAGCAAGAAGTGAAAGTGATTTCCGGTTCGTAACTTTTGCTACTTTGAATTTGTGTATTACTTGTTTTGGCTGAATTGCCTACAAGATTTTTTTTACAACTGGAAATTTACTGTTAATATGGCTCTGACAAAAATTGTGCCTTCAATTTTAAGACCTATTATATCTCCGATGTCTCAGACTTTTCAAGTAACTTCTAAAATTTTCCACTTGCCACCTCCGCTATTTTCNGGGGGGGGTAGGGTTTTTACATTGTGATCTATTTGTGATGTGCTTTTTTTTATGATGAAAATAATAAAAATTTATATTTGAAAAAAAAAAAAAGAAAGTAATGACATTTTTAGAGGTTATAAAGAAAGACTAATCAATATCTATCTCTGCTACCAATCTACAATAACAGTTTGAACCTGAGAGCAATATGGTGAAGTGCACACTTAAAGAAGCTAACACTGACAGATGTTCTGAAGAGGATCTCTCCAAAATCATTTATATAAAATGACATATAATTAAAAGGGGTTCAAAGTACTTGTTTGAAAAATCTGTTTTCTTTTTAGTCTCTTAAAAGGATAAGCATAATCTAATAGCACTAAACAGTTGGAAAAAAATACAGAAACAGTCTTTCAAGATGATGTCACACATAGGAAGGGAGAAAACCTTGTACGGAGAAAACCATACAAAACTGACAACACAAACAACATCAAAATTCAATAAACACTGATATTCACATAGGGGATTGAAGTATGTATGTAGGTTTACACAAGAAAAGACACCTAGGATCTAATTCATATATGATCTCATATTAGAGAATCATTTTGAAAATAGAAAAGCTATTAGAATAGCTCAAATTTGTTATGATTCATTAGAGATACAGACACTTATCACATAGTCTAATATGCTATACTAACAGAAGTGCCTTTAAAGACAGCTGTACAAAGAATGTTACAGCAATCTATGCTACTTCTTCAGTTCTATTATCCTGGCCAAATTTATAATGATACTTATAGTATAAGAATTGGGAATACAAGATTAACTCATAGTCATAACTTTGAGTTTTGGCTAATTATCTGCAAGTCTTTTAGGATTCCTCTTTTAGAATGTTTATACTATATTCTTCATTAAAGGTCTCTACTAAATGTGTGACTATAACTTTAAGAAAGAAGTACAGGTAGTTCTTGAGTTACGAGTGTAATGGAGCCTGCCCATTCCACTCCTAACTCGAAAACTCATGGGAATGAATCTTATACCTTGAATGAGATCACTTCCTTGTTCATTAAGACGCATGCGGCTCGTTAAGCGAACATGAGGTATCTCATGCTGGGGAAAGCCATGGAGGGCCTAGTGATGGAACAGGCCCCCAAGGCCTTCCCAGCCCACTAAGATACCTCATGCTTCCCCCTCCATTCCTGCCACGCCAGACTCACCTGGGAAAGATCCATTTTCTCTCTGCTGCGGTTCTTGCTGCTGCCTGGATCTGAGGCCAGGGGACACTTCTGCGCTCCCTCTGTGGCCCAATCTGAGCTCTGGAGGCCTTTTCCAGACTACTGCCGCCCGGATTTGAGGCTAGGGAACTCTTCCGCAGCCTCCCCATGGCCTGATCAGGCCAGGAAAATGCCTTTGGAGCCCGGATCAGGCCACGGGGGGCGCGGAAGCGTTCCCTGGCCTCAAATCTGGGCGGCAACAGCCTGGAAAAGGCCTCCGGAGCCCAGATTGAGCCATGGCAGGGCACAAAAGCCTCCCCCAGCCTCAGATCCAGACCGAAGCGGCCTGGAAAAGGCCTCCGGAGCCCCAATCCAGCTTCCAGAGGCATGGGGAAGCATCATCTAGCTTCGGTTCTGTTCTCTGTTGCAGAAAACAGGGGCCTAAAGTACCATGAGATCACACAAGATCAGTTGCGTGAGATCTCGCCCCACTGATCTCACATGATCTTGCGTTACTTTAGGCCTCTATTTTCTGTGAACTCACTAAAGGCCTGGAGCAGCCAAGAAAGTGAAGGATCTCAATCTTCGTAGGGTGAGTATTGAAGGCCTGGTGTCTAGGGAGACCCGGCTCGGGGGTGGGGAGGGAGGGAATAACCAGGGTGAATGTTGCAGAGCCTCTGCAGTCGCTCATAAGGGCAAACAACTGCCGTGGTGCTGCAATATTAGTAATTTCGGGAGTTGCTCGTAAGCACTAGGGGGCACTTATCACGTAACTTCAAATGAGAATAAAGTGAATGTTCGTAACTCGGGGATTACCTGTATTATCAAACTTTCATAACATCAAATGAACTTGCTAAAGATAGCAAAAAAAGGTTATGAAATACCTTTTTTTAAACAGGTTATACTGTACTGTTTATATCTGAAACATACTTTCTCAATTTTATTTCATTTAAAACTAGGTGCTCTAAGCTTTTATGTTTATAATGTAAACAAATATCAGAGAAACCATTTAAAAGCATACCAACCTTATTCCTCTAATAGAAGAAGCTGTAAAATTCCATTCATGAATCTGTTTCTGTGAAGAAATAAAACCATAGTTTTGAAGCAAGACTGCAAATAATTTCTTACTGCTTGGGCTTAGCCTGCTGCAGTACAGTATTTGCCGTTTTGACTTTAGATTACCTAAGATAGTAAGGTGAAATAATACACATCATTGTGCCTTATCACAAGTTCACAGGTACCACCCTGTGGTTATTCAAATGGGATCACAGTGATGTGATAGCAGGTTTCCTAGGTCCAGTCCAGACAATCTCTCCAGAAGCAAAGTGAATTAATGAATAATACCAAGAGGTGCAAAATACAATTTGCATTGCATTCCTATAATTTCCTCAATGAAGGTCATCCATAAACATTTCCAAGTTATGATATGAATGGATTGGAAATCAAAATTCCTAAAGCTGAGAAACTTAAAAGCATCCACAAAGTTTATAAGGTGTAAAGTTGTTTAAACTCTATAAACCAACTCAAATTCTTTTACAGAAATCTGCAATTGGAAAGTGAAACCATTGCAATAAATCTAATTTTGTATACTACTAAGAATTCTGTGAAACTGAAATCTTGAGAGTTCTAAATGTTAAAAATTGTCCCTAAAGGATCTTAAGATAAAATAAACAGGAATACTTAATAACAGTTAATGCTGGACACTTTCTGTTTGCAACATTGTTTTTCTTCTGAAGAATTAGGAATAAAATGTTCTTTTTAAAACATTTTTATGAAACACTCATTAGGAGTTCTTAAAAGAATAGCATGATTGTTTTCAAATAAATCATGTCTAAAGCATTAAGAAAATGCCCAGCTAATCTTACCATTTCTGCAGGGGACACATGCCAAAGGGAAACTGTCCTCTCATCGGCTTCATTATTGATTGAAACATATGCAGGCTGATATATCTTGGTTGGCTCTATCACCAATACCTAAATAAAGAAAACTTTATTTGAAGCATGTATTAAAACTGATATCTAGCCATCATTCAATTTCAAAATGAGGAACATAATTCTTGCATTATAATCCTAAGCCTAATTATTACAGACCAAAGGCACAATGAATTTAGGGGCTTTTGAATAAATTTGAATAAGACAACCTTTTGTTATTTCAATGGAAAAGATTTGCTTTAGTTCATACCATCCCTTGTATTAACTGCATTTTTAGGTATATATGGATGAATGTATTACAGCTCAATCCACCAATTCTCAAACTAGTAACCAACAGAAACACATTAATATAAAGCACTCTAACTAATGAAAAAAAAATGAAATGTAGCTCCCTGAAATTGCCACATTCAATTCATGGCAGGAGATCTCTCTGACAGATTGAGGAAGCCAAGAATAAGAGAAATTCAGTTAGAGAGCATTTCTTAAAGGTACAAAGCATGGAAACATGAAAAGGAAACATTTCAAAGAAACACCACATTAGCTGGCTTGCTAGAAGTCTGCTTGAGAACTATAATCTTTTCCAACATGTTTTATATTGACTAACATTAATTTTGAAATCCATGTGAATAAACTATTCTTGAGTTTGCCAGCTATGTGGGACTTGATATCCTCATTACTAATCTGTTCCCAGGGAATATATGGCTTTTTGAAAAACCAATATGGTGAGAGTCAACTTAGTCTTAAGGGGAACACTATTCTATTAGTTTGTTCGATACACAATCATTTTTTGTTACCTCCAACTCAGTATCAATATAGTTATATAATTAACAACAAATTATACACTGTAGAATCTTACTGGGAATCTTAATCCATTGTTTTTTATTTTAGTTGCCTCAAAAATTATATCCAACCAGAAGTTCAGTCTTTCTTGCCTTGGAGAATGTTCTATGGTCAGTTTCTTGAAATGCTGAATTAATATCAGATTTTGTACCAAGGATTTTAAATACCTGAAACATATAAATATAATTAATAAACAAAATGGCCAATAGGTCCTTTTAAATCAATGTTGAAAAACATATTTTATAGGAATCATGTATTTAAATAGATGGATAATAAAATCAACCTTCCAAAGTCTTTTTTTTTTTTATAAAACATACTTTCCAACGAATTACTGCTAATTCTTACCTAGTTAGTCTTCTTTAAAAACACAAATGATATTTTTATTTAAATTTTGCAGCCAAATTATCATGTGAATATTTTGACAAAAAAAATCCCAAAAAATTTATATCTCTATTGGAGGGAAAACTCTCCAAATCCACGACTAGTTGATATTGTTAGTAAGATCAATCAAACCATAATAAATAGTCATGCAAACTCTTATGTTTTTTAAAATTCCTCATCAGACAAAATATCACAACAAAGCAAAAGTGTTGGTGTGTATGTAGGAATTTGGAAAAACAAACTTCAGGTCATCATGGCTTACAATAAAGAGAAAACTTAACAAAACCTAGTAAATGTGAGCTACAATTACAAAAAATATGTGATGATACATACCAAATGGGTGGTTTCAATTTGAAAAGTCTCTCTGCTGCTTGGATAGCTTTACCAATGTCACTGGCCAACATGCTTACGGTGAAAAACTGTCCAACGTCCCAGTAATTGTTCATTTTTTCCAGATTCCCTTTTCTTCCCAATAAACTATTTAACCGTACTCCTTGACAAACATATAAAAAGAGAATGCTGCAAACAAATACAAGAATCCTATTTCAAAACCTAAGAGTGGGTGATGTGTTTCTAAGGATTATAGTCTCAAAATTTAACTGGAAGGAGAAATTGTACAGGTGTACCCATCTTTTTCTCTACAGAATTTAAAGCTAGAAATTAGACAATATTATTGCCATTGGTGTTAACAGTTAAGTAGAAGGAAACTTCATGTGACTGGAACCATGAAGGGAAGGGAGGAAAAGGTGGATCAGGCTTATGAAATTAACTGACTGACATCACCACACTTAATTTTCCTTTATTCATTTACCTATTTTCCTCAGTTCCATGGAAGTTTCAAATTGCTGCCCAGAAACGATCAGCAAAACTGCAAGGTTAATTCCAGAATACAGAGTTGACTGGAGCTCAAACCCTTTATGATACCTGTAGGAAAAAAAATTAATCAAATGAGTCACAGAAGAAAAATAGTTATCAAATCTCAATATATCTCATGCTAGATATTACAGAACTGATTCCACCTCCCCTCCGCCCCTTATTTCCCCCTCCCTGGGGAAGAGGAGAATGCAGATTTTAGTCATCTAATATAAGGCAGAGAAGACGTATATACTTTTTAAATTGTATCAAACTGTTTAAGCAGTTCTGCTTTAAAGATAATTATTTTAAATTATTATATAATAATACGTTTTTCAACTGTTTATATATTTTTATTTAATTAATGGAATAAACAATTTTACTGAAATATGAAGATGCTGTCATAGAGAACAACCAACATAAGACATCCCCAAAGTGAAAGTTCCAACATTCTACAAAATTGGCTGTTCATATGTATGGAACCCTTTTCTGAGCTAACATATATAGGCTTCCACTCTCAAAATCACAATGTCATCAAGGGAATATCTTTTTTAAAAAAATTAATTTCTTCCAGCTTCATTTTTTTTCAGGCTTTTCAATTTTATTTAGATGGGTCTAAATTGGAAGTGGGCTGTCAAGTTCAGAAGCACGTAACAACGCTCCTTGTAGTGTTGTTTTAAGAAAATATTAAGTAAGAGAATTTGCCATCATACTTGAAAATGGATTTTAATGTGTTGGAACTAATGCAGAAAAAGCCAAATTAAGATCATTGAGAAGAAGTTGAAGAATTTATTTTAGAAGCACAGATTAAACATTTGTGTAGTTAACAAAAAGCCAGCTAAGCAGAAGGGGAATTGGCAGATTTTTTTTTAAATGGAGAAAGAGAATAAAGAGGAAAAAAACCTAGTTCAACATCAGAACTAGTTTCCTTAGACTTAATGGGAAGTCTTTCCATCATACAATGGAGAATTTTGTGCTTAGGATGTGATAATGTGTACCAGTTTAAATGACTTCAAAAGCTGTATGTCAGGTATGATAATAATAATAATGACTCAAAATTTCAGTTTCTGATAATCAAACAATCCTCGGTTGCCTTTTCTTGTTCTTGGAAGCTGTCCTGTAATACCTAGTTGGCCACTGCTAATCAGAGAACAAGAGCTTTCATCAAATTCAGAGGGCCTTCCTTATGGTTTTATCTGTATACATTCCATTATTTATTCACTTTTTAGGATGATAGGATACTATAGGTAGTCCTCAACTTACGATCACAATTGATGCCAAAATTTATGTTGCTAAGGGAGACATGTGAGTTTTACTCCATTTTACGACTTTTCTGCCATAGTTGTTAAGTGAATCACTGTAGTTCTTAAGTTAGTAACAGAGTTATTAAATGAATCTGGTTTCCCCACTGACTTTGCTTGTCAGAAGATCACAAATAGCAATCACATGACCCCAGGACACTGCAACCATCATAAATATGAGCCAGTTGCCAAGTGTCCGAATTTCAGTCATGTAACTGTGGGGATGCTACAGTGATCGTAAGTGTGAAAAATGGTCATGTCACTTTTTTCAGTGCCACTGTAGCTTTGAAAGATCACTAAATGAACTGTTGTAAGTTGAGGACTACCTGTAATTGGTAGTGAATGTGGAATTTACTAGTAGAATACTCTCCTTTTCTATTTTTATAGTGATACTGAACCGTTCAACACCTCTTACCATTCAATGGCTTTGTCTCGGCTACTATTATCTTTACAGTCTGAATCAAGGAATATGTCTTTATAAATTCTCCCACATAGGCAAAACATATCTGGTGCTGGATGATCACATGCCTGTAACACCTGGAGCATCACTTGAAGTGCCTTTTCCCGGTCACCCATGTTGTTCCTTCTAAAATTCAGACAAAAACCTGGTCTAATTACACACATACATAAATCACATAGGATGACAAACTTTTTGTTCCTAACAATATTATATAATTATATTACCCCAAAACTGCAATTTATATAGATTTTCTCAGATTGAGTGTTTTGCAGTAAAACCAATAAAGATTCTTGTAACAATCTAAAGACATTTACTATATTTGTAAATAACATTCCATTCCATCACATCTTTCTACTACTAATAGTTTATGCAATAAAAAAATTGATGGGCTTGGTGTCATCAGACTCCTTGTTCTTCTACACAAACCAATCAATTTTCAATATTTTTTTTCCTCTCTAGCATTTTTTCAGATTTATACATCTCTTAGAAATATAATACAAGACCTATGGAATCTAAAGTGACTTTAAACAGCTCTTTTCCTCTTCCTATGGATATTTTCAGTTAATTCTGAAAAACCACCCTATCATGAACAGTCAGATAACTGCTTTGTACTCATTATCTAAAAGGTGTTTTGGAGTGCCACATGGGCCTTTGAAAGATACAGTTACTATAAGATATCACAGAGATGCTACTTTCTATGTGCTCTGGAGACTGAATCTAAGGTGTAGCAGAGTTCTAATATTTATTTTGTGTAGCTGTCCCTAATGAAATAAATTCAATGTGTTGCTGAAGAAAAGCTATGACTCTAGAACATTTTAGTTAAGTATCTCAGATGTCTGACTTTAGCTATAAAACAATAGCAAAATCTTTCAACATAATGTGACAAAAAACTTTCATTAGTATTATTTTTTCAGGATCCAAATTGAAACAAATGCATGTTAATATACTGTACATAAAAACCCTTTCACTGTTTACATAAAGATAACACATTTGTGTGAACAAGAAAACATGCAATTGGCAAACACTGCAGTTTAAAAAATCTTTTACATAAGACTGTTGAAGTGTACTAACCAAATACTGTTCATGTATAATAGAAAAAAAAGTTACTAGTAAAGTCAATACACAAACTTCATGATTTAAGGGATTCTATAAAAGTAATAAACAACTGGCACAAAAGTTAGCTCAATTGTTAAAAAATATGGTAAAATTGAGGCATGGGTCAGGATCCCTACTTTCTGCAAGATACAAAATCTTTTAGAACAAAGATTGAACCTGGGTACCAGGGCTAGGTAAAAGAAGTAACAATATTATCTAAAGTTTGGAATCAACAAAAAGCTGGAAAAGTCCAGGGAATGAAGCAGAAGATATTTTCTTCATGAATCTATAAAAAAATATGTAACCAAGACTAGCAACTTTATGCATTCTGCTGCTTATTTCTCTGTATAAATTCAGTAACTATGTGTTTTATGCAACAAGATTATGCCAACAAAACCACAGATTACTGAATATTTCTTGAGTAAAAGAAGCCACAATGTTATTTTTTAGTCTTCCCCACTTTACTGGGAAGCATTCCTTTCCTGATGCATATTAAAAGCATCTTTTTCTTTTTTCTTTCTTTCTTTCTTTCTTTTTCTTTCTTTCTTTCTTTCTTTCTTTTTTCTTTCTTTCTTTCCTTCCTTCCTTTTTTCTTTCCTTCCTTCCTTTCGTAACTTTGAGCCAATTGCTTGCTCCCTCAGTCCATCTCATGTAACTGGGTTGTTGTGGGCAGTTGTGCCATCGTGTATTGTGCAATATGAAGGTGGGATATAAATACAATGATTGTTTGTTTGTTTGATTGATTGATTTCTATAGCCATCCATCTCAACAAGTGACTCTGGGTGGTGTACACCACAAATATGTGAATAAAACAGAAATATTTAAATTATTTGAAGTACCACAATATTTCACAATCTGACTTTCAAGAAACCATGGGAAATGATTACAACAATATCCTTAAATAGTAATTGTTAATATTAACGTATAAAAGAAATTTGCATCACTGCTGAGATATATATTCAATGGTATAAGCTATGCAAATTTATTTTACTATTAGTTCTAAGCAACTTGTTCATTACAATAAACTATGCTATACAGTTGAAATTAAACTGAACCCCAATCAATACATCAGAAATGCCAGTTAAACTGAATAATATAGGGTCAGAAAATGATTTTGTTCTTTATGTAAAATTATGATATGAAAATTAAAAACTAACTAATTGGGAGGATGTTGTCTGTTATTAAGATACTTTGTGAAATGATTATATCCTTCTGAAAATAACATCACTTTTCACAAAATACAGTCACATCAATTGCATAATGGGATAATTGTCTCAATGGCAGCAGAATTTGGTCTATTACGTGCAAGTCCATTGTATTGAGGTCTAGTAAATTTAACATTCCACTCCCTGAAAATGTAAATCTGTAAATCTATTTTTAAGATATCCATGGTAACTCACTAATTACATAAAATATCTATTTATAAAAAAATAGAGTAAAACACATAAAAATTAAGCTTACCTATTCAGTGCAAAGGCATAGTGAAATTTGATATTGTGCTGATCAGCCAAATCACAAGTTGGGAGCACTTCCAGTGTCTCCACTAGTTTCACCATAGCATCATAATTCTAGCAGTAGCAAAAGATAATAAAATATTTATAAACAAAAATTCATGCATCAAACATTTCTTCTTTTCCTACTTTGCAAATGTGGCCATGACCAACAACTCCTAAAAAATTTACAGTGCTTGTCCCTAACAATTGATTCACCACAGAAGAAAATCTGACAGAGATGCTCTTGACTTACAGGGAAGAACTATATAATCAGGGGTAGTCAACTCGTGGACTTCAACTCCCAGAATTCCTGAGCCAGCACAGGAATTCTGGGAGTTGAAGTCCAAGAGTCATAAAAGAGCCAAGGTTGACTACCCCTGAAACTGTATAACAAAATCCTTGCTTTTGAATAGAATAGAGCTGCAAGGGACCTTGGAGGTCTTCTAGTCCAGGGCTTTTCAACCAGGGGTACGCGTACCACCAGTGGTACTTTAGCACTTGGCAGGTGGTACGCGACCCCTAGCCAAGTGTAGCGGGGGAGGGAATCAGCTAAAGTGATGCCGCACAGACCTGGAGATCAGCTGGAGCTGCAAAGCTTGGCAGAAGCCCCAGGATCGGCGCACATGGCGACATAGTAATTGGAGCTTCAGCGCACCCGGAAGAGAAAAGGAGGAGGGTGGAGAGAAGAGAAAGTATAAAAGGGGCAGGTTTTGGCAGGAGAGGGAGAGAAAGAGAGAGAAGCAAAGAGGTTTTTCTTAGCAAGAGAGGAGAGACAGAGTGAGCGGACTGTTTTCAGAGGAAGGGCGAGTGAGCGAGCAGCCTGTTTTCGGAGGAAGGGTGAGTGAGTGAGCGGCGTGTTTTCGGGAAAAGGGCGAGTGAGCGGCATGTTTTGGGAAGGGCGAGTGAGCAGTGTGTTTTGAGAAGGGTGAGTGAGCGAGCGGCATGTTTTCAGGGGAAGGGTGAGCAAACAAGTTGGGCAGGAGCCCCAGGATCGGCATGCACTTCTTGCAGGGCTATGGGGGCTTGGCAGAAGCCCCAGGGTTGGCGCGTGCAGCTACAGCTAATTGGCACTTCTGCTGAGCTCCAAAGAAGCACCGATGAGCTGGAGCCCAGCATTGATACTGGCACTTCTGCTGAACCCAAACAGCCATGCAGAAGTGCAGATCACTGTCAGGGCTCAGCAGAAGCGCCAGGATCAGCAAAGGAAGGAAGGAAGGAAGGAAGGAAGGAAGGAAGGAAGGGAGATGGGAATGAGAAGTAGGGAGGCAGGGTGGGAGGGAAAAAGGAAACACACACACCCCGCCAATCACAATGCTAATGCAGCCCTCAATGAAATTGAGTTTGACACCCCTGATATAAAAGATTAAGTGAATCTGGTTTCCCCATTGACTTTGCTTGACAAAAGGTTGCAAAAGGGGATCACATGACCTTGAGACACTGCAGCCATCATAAATATGAATCATTTGCCAAGCATCTGAATGTAAGTCACATGACCCTGGGAATGTGAAATGGTCATAAGTGTGAAAAATGGTCATGTCACTTTTTTCAATAATATTGTAGCTTCGAACAGTCACTAAGTGAACTGTTGTAAGTTGAAGGCTACCTGTACTTTATCAATTTTTCTTTCTTTTTGGGGGGGGGTCATCAAGTTTTTGACACCTTGCTAGGCAACTGGTGATACTCGGATATTGCCATATCTTAAAAAGTGGTACAATGGGTGAAAAGGTTGAAAAGCCCTGTTCTAAGTCCAGCCCCCCACTCAAGCAGGAGAACCTATACCATCTCAGACAAGTGACTATTATTCTTTTGGTAACAAGTCACTGGTGTGACTCTTCTAGATGGATGATCTTCTCTTAAGTATTTATCTCTTTGTAACTGGCAGAAAGTCAGAAGTGAAATTTAAAAAGTAGCCTTATAGATAATCTCTTTGTTAAGGGCAGTAGATACACTGTACAATATATATGCTGAATGTCACTCAGATTGCATAACAACTGTTTATGTGATTCATTCCCTCAATTCAATTTAAGGCTGATGAATATCATAGAAAAAGACACAAAATATTGCAGGAAAAGCACTTTTGAACTTACAATAGATATTCTAAAAGGGGACAAATTAAGATCAGAAACCAGTGGAACAATCTGCCTCCAGAAGCGGTGAATGCTCCAACACTGGAAGTTTTAAAGAAGAGACTGGACAGCCATTTGTCCGAAATGGTATAGGGTTTCCTGCCTGAGCAGGGGGTTGGACTAGATGACCTCCAAGGTCCCTTCCAACTTTATTTTTATTATTATTATTATTATTATTATTATTATTATTATTATTATTATTATTATTATTATCCATACCATAAATGGGTAAATTCTGCATTTTCAGGTAAAAGTAACATACCTGAATATCTCTATAGGATAGGAGTAAATTGATCACAATGTCAGAAGTCAGGATTTCAGTATTATCCATATGAAGTTTAATCTTAGCCAGTTCTTTTGCAAGTTCTTCTCCTTGATATTTCTTTCTAGCTTTTCTGATGTCATTTAACAGACTTTCCTTATAATATGTACTAAGGAATTAAACACAACAGAACACAAATTTATTTAACAGATGACATATTAAAATACAAAACATTGAAACAACAGACTCTGGTTTTTCCACAGAATGTTTATATCTTAATTCAATTTATATGGCTGCCCATCTCAGCAAGTAGTTGGTGAGTATCTTCTGAACAGAAATAAGGAATGTTATGAACGGAGAGATCCTATGTTTCTAATTATAATAAAAACCCAGTGCAAAATTCAAACTGAGCATGGAAATCCACATTTCTGAATGGTTCGCCATGCATTAATTCAAAGCCAATCATCACCTGAACCTGATATGAATAGAAACAGCTTCCCACACAAATGAGGAGACCATATGACATGGTTAACAAAATCTAATGTCACAGACATAAAGTATTTTTGTAGTTACAATATTTCAGTTAGATGATGATGGTGGTGACAACCCTGTCTTCTTGCTATCTTCATTAGTCAAGGCAACTAACAAAAATAAAGCAAAACAACATAACAAATTGAAAATAAAGATCAAAATTAACAATAAAATAAATACTAAAATCATGAAACAATTCTAATCATGGTAAGGAGGTCTTTATAGTTTTACTAAACAATGAGACAATGGGACGTCTAAAGATGCTCCCAAAGAATCTCCATAGAGAGAATGGGGTATACATTAAGGGAATATATTCCATAGCATGGCAGAAACAGAGACAAAGACTTTCGTATCTGCCAAAATTGGGAGGAGGTTTCGAAGTATATCTAGCAGGACTACCCGATTCTGTAATAGCTTTGTTCCCTATGTCATCCATCTGGTAAACTCACAAGATTCGTTTTTCTCGCCATGTACATGTATACATAACCTGAACTGTTGTTTCTCTATGTCGTATAATATATGTAGGTATATGCATAATTCTGTATTTATTTATTTATTTTTGTCATATTTATGTAGTGTATATCGGAAGTGGTGACCCTTTGAGAGCTGTTTGCAATGAAATTTCATTTTAATGTATGCCGATTAGTGTACATTCAAAGTGACAATAAAGTTATTATTCTATTCTATTCTATTCTATTCTATTCTATTCTATTCTATTCTATTCTATTCTATTCTATTCAGTGTCTTATTTCAAAATAGAGTTTGAAGATTTCTTTATTTATGCATACTTGTACAACTGGACGGATCACCAGTTCTTATTTTACTTATTACATCTTTAAAAATAGTTCCATGTTACTAGGGTTAGTTTGTTAGAACAGATGCATAAGAAAGATCCAACTTGGATTAAATTACAAACACATCAATGCATTAGGCAGAGAAATATTGTGATTGCAAAACATCCTAAAGCTTTGTTTTTAAAGAAAAAAAATAGAAAAAGAAATGATTAATAAAACCATTAAAGAGTGATAGATTACCATGAGGTGATATGGATATCCTTGAGAAGGCTGATAAATTTGTCCATTAGTGGCACACAGAGTGGTCCTAAGATGGTGTCCCAATTAGGTTGGATGTACTCAGATGCTCTCCGCTGGGCATCACTTTCACAACAAAAACAATCATCACATGATGATACAGTGTATGGAATGAAGTGATAGTTGCCGCTTGAAGCCTGAAGAAGACAATGAATTAAAATATTGCATATTAAAAAGAAAGCATAACAAAGATACAGAAATACAATTTTAAAGGCTTCTTTGAAATTTATGCAAAATACATCCAGTTTTCATCCAGTTATCATAAAAAACCTTATAACAAATAAGAGACCATATAACCACGCCGGACTCACCTTGAAAAGATCCCTCTCCTCTCTGCCGCAGTTCCTGCTGCTGCCCAGATCTGAGGCCGGGGGACAGTTCCACATGCCTCCAGAGGCTGGATCAGGGCATCAGAGGCTGCCCCAATCCAGCCTCTGGAGGCACGCAGAACTGTCCCCTGGCCTCAGATCCAGGCGGCAGCAGGAACCGTGACAGAGAGGAGACGGATCTTTTCTAGGTGAATCCGGCGTGGCAGGAAGGAGGGGGAAGCATGAGGTATCTTACTGGGCTGGGGAGGCCTCGAGGGCCTTTTCCATCACTAGGCCCTCCATGGCCTTCCCCACCCTGAGATACCTCATGTGCACTTAACGAGCCATGTGTGTCTTAATGAGCAAAGGAGTGATCTCGTTTGAGGTACAATATTCACTCTGAGTTTTCGAGTTACGAGTGGAATGGGCAGGCTCTATTACATTTATAACTTAAGGACTACCTGTATATTTAGCTCATGGTTGAATTATTGGGTTCTTGCTATTCTTTGGCTTTTTCTTTAGGAAGATGTTTTATTACCAGACTAGATAACATCATCAGTGCTCTGATATGGAGGAATGAGATTTGTTGCCTATTTATACTCAACAGCTTGTCCTTGTATGGGCTTGGACAAGATATGCTGATTTGTGGTCCTGTTTTTTCTTTCATTGACATGCTGTTATCTGGCAGTGAATTAATATAAGGTGCTGGCTCTAATCCTTCTGATGGGGCTAGAATGATTTGTGAACAGCTAACCACAAATCACTATATAGAGGAAGTGTCCCATTGTCATGGCATTAGAACTAAGACTTCTTCACAAGTGCTTCCTTTCAGCTGGCTACAGCTTCAGATTCATTTATAGCGATTCCCCCACGGAGAGATATCCTATCAGATCTACAGCAGAGACATGAAAACTGACTGGTTCAAGAGCTCTGGATGTTCAGGCTTCCAGTTCCGGATCAATGCGCCAGCGGACGCACGGTGAGAGCTCTCTCTCCCCCGTCCGGTTTTCCTTCTTCGGAAGACCCTGGAAAGGGTCGAAAGTTGCCCTGGAGGGGCGACCACTGTTGGGGAGGACCCTTGCTAGATCACAGAGGGGCGGCAGCCCCTCCGTTTGATCCGAGGCAGTTCTTCAGGACCGAAGAAGAAAAGATCGGCCATTGATATGGCCGATCACCAAGTCGCACCAGCTGAAAGCCAAAATTACAACTAAGCACAACGAAGCACCGCGGAGGATTTGGGTGAGACCCTTCCTTACCTCTCTTTTACCCTAACTACCTTCCTGTGAAAGCCTCCTGAAACTTCTCCCCTGCGGTGTTTGCCTACTTTGGGAATTTAAGTTTTGAAAAGAAAAGAAAAGAATAACTAATCTCAACAACTAAGTAACTGGATTTTTATTTTTTGGATACTTTGGGGTCCCAAAAATTTCCTATTATAGAGACCTATCATTTTATCTACCTATTAACTTTGAAAAATATCCTTTTTTCCTTTTTTCTAACTGGATAAAAATTTAATGGGCGTCTGGAAAAAGAATTCTTAGCCTGTGGGGACATCTTGTGGTGAAGCCTGGTACAGCAACTGAATATTTCTGCCTGTGAGGCCTGTTGACTCCCTTGATTTGCCCTAAAAAAGATAAGAGTTGGAAACAGCTGGGTGGTGGAAACAACTTCTAGAAGCTGTGGAGGTGAATACTGGCTGACTTTTACTAAGCATAGCCTCCACTAAAAGACTATCTCTAACCACTATAGAAATGGAGGAATCTTACCCACAACTTAACTATAAACTTATACTTGAAAAAATCCTTGAAGCTACTGAGCTAGTGAAAGCCAAAGATGTTACCCCAAAACTACAAATTGAATTCCAGACTCCAACTGATCAACTTATAAGCAAAAAAACAACAGAAGAGGAACAAATTAATATTAAAGAGGATTCTACACAACTGGACACACAACCTATTGAGAACTTTGACAACCAAATACTGATTTCAACTAAAGTACCTGTAACTCCAAAAGCAACCAGGAACCGAACAACAAACACAATACACTGAGAACCTAGACAACCTAGACAATCAATTAACAACTACAACACTGGACATGACTTTTTACCCTAGTCAGTCTCTCTCTTCTTCTCCTTCCCTTCTTGATTGATGATGGAATAGCTTAAAATCTTATTTAACAGATTAAGAAGATTTTTAGAGATATTGACTTATTTAATGTTTAGGACCTAGATTTATAATGGAAATGAAAATTGTTAAGATTATAGTTTTGAATTGTAATATGAAAATGGGTTTGTGACACTGAAAGATATTTTATTAGCAAATGAGGAGCTATCAGGACGAGAAATAGAATATATTTGTGAAATAAAGTAAGAATTTAATTTTTGGAATAATATGTGTATTCTAGACATGATAATTATTTGGTAATGAAATGAGGGAAATTGGGGTTACCCAAAGTTTAATTATTATGGTTATTAATGGCTAAATTGGAACATGGTAATTGGAATTAAGTAAAATTTAAAAAACAGGATTTGGATATGTACAAATAAAATTTTATTGATAATTGTATTGATTCATTGAGCTCTATCTAGAAATGTATTAATTTGAATATGATATAAAAATTAAGGGAAATAGAGAGGGAATTTTTAATGAGGTAACCTGAGATATATATGAATGATTCTGTTATTGGATTTTTGATTACCCTATCACCACGCTGCTTCCTAATCACTTGGATGTAAAAACTGAAAAATTAATAAAACTTGTTTAAAAAAAAGAAGAGCTCTGGATGTTCATTGAATGTTAAATTGGGGTGTGTGCCTGTCATCAGACATTTTAATCATTATGTGATTGTAAGGGAAATAATATTAATTCTTTCTGCCTTTCCCAATGTTGATGTCTCTTGATATGTTTTGGCTGCACTCCCATATCTCCAGATAACTTGAATATATTGTAAACAAATTTACTGGAAGTCATGTTGGGGAAGATGGAGCCAATACATCTTAGTTTATTCTGTTTCTTCTGTTAAATAAGTTTTCTCTCTACTTACCAGTTGACAGCTTACACTGTACATACAAAAATACCTCAAATCAACAAAACAATGAGGTTTTTTTCCTGTTTTAACTGTGAAGCCTACAAAATGTGTTCTATACTTAACATTGCATATGCCTAAGAAAGAATTTAAGAAGTGTTAAAAGGACAGGTGCCAAGAAAGTGCCACAAAAGACCTATTAGAAACAAACTTCCATAAATGTGTACCCCAGATGAAAATATTCTATATCTGACTTTGGATATTTACTTAAGCAGATGACAATTTAGGGCAAAGAGCTGCTGTAACTGTAGATGGGCAGGTTGAAACAAGTTTAAAATCTTTGTCCTAAATAAATGAAAGGAATTCTATAGAATCTTTTTTATAAACATCTTTTTCCAGTATGTCTGTATTGCAAACAGAAAACAATTGTATCCCACACACCAGACAAGGTAGATGTTACTTTAAAGAATGGATACATATCATTTGGTAAAATTACTAGCACTGCTTATCAGATTGGTTGTGGGATCATGTTCAATTCTTCAATTTACTAGTAACATTAAGGACCAAGGAGAAGTATTTCCATTCTAAATAAAAATATTTTGGTTTAATCTAAGAGTACTGGAAGACATAACTGATGTATGGTTAAAACAGGTTCTTTTTCATATTAGTTGTGATTTTGGAATAATACTAATTTGGAAATGCTGGCACTATGGACTCTTTCTATGTCTCACAGCATCTGCAATTACAGAAGCAGGTTATTGGTTCCCAAGACTGTTACCCTAAGAGCACTGCTGGCAAAGACTCTGATAAATAATGCTAGCTATTCCAAGAGCACAGAAAGTTAGAAGAAAGCAATCTTTAAAATGTTCAAGAAATGTTTACTTCAAAACAGGACAGAGAAGCACATGTATAGCAACATTTATAAAAGGTAAAGCGGAGTAAAAGAGTGATACGTACTTTGCCCATCATACTACCACTATGGTATTCTGGAAGTAGCTGTACTTGAAGAAAAGATTTATGGCTGGTAGCCTATTCCAAATTGTAATGGAGGAAGACAAAGATTCAGATTTTAAAAAGAAGACACACGGAAAAGAAAAGAATTGTTAAGAAAAAAAGAAAAACAGCAAAGTATTTTTTTAATAAAGGTTTTTATTGAGTTTTATAAGGTTGGGGAAGGGATAGGACCAGGAAAGGGATTAAGGTTCGTGATGGGGTTAGGGTCGGGATTGGGGTTGGGACAGGATTGGGAACAACATTGGGGTTGCCCCCCAGTAACATTTTCAAGCTTTAGCAAACAGACTATTGTCCGGGTACATATGTTCAGTCAGTACTAATTAATATAATAGTAAATAGCTGTGGTGAATATGATAAACGAAATCATAAACAGTATCAGTTGGTCAATACATATCATTCTTCTTACCAATATATATTCAAAGTAACATATCACATTCATTTTTCACTAGTTCGTTTTCCTAACCATTGATAAAATTTATCCCATGTTTTAAAATAAACTGAATCTTCTTTCTCTTTAATCTCTAAGGTTAATCTATCCATTTCTGCACATTCTAAAATTTTCTTAATTAAGATAGCCTCAGCTGGTAAGTTTTCATTTTTCCAGTATTGGGCAAATACTATTCTCGCTGCTGTCAATACATGCAATATTAAATACTCATTCTCCTTCTCGTACTTAGCTCCTAATATTCCTAACAAAAACAGTTCTGGTTTAAGTTCTATCTGTATTTTAGTCATCTTTTCCAGCCATGTATGTATCTTAAGCCAGAACTTTTTCGCTTTAGGGCATACCCACA